CAATGCCGATTAAAAATTAGTCAACGAATTTACGTGTGTCATCTCTCTCTGAATACTTGGAATTGAACAAACCGCGTGAGTAGAATACCGCGATCGTGGCTGTGTACTACTCTAATCTCGTTACAAAAGCCCTCTCTTTGAGGGGTGTCGCGAGGAACGTCCGAAGGTAAAAACGGGTGTGTTTCCCCACGGAGATGGCAGACGGCCGACGATGATGTCGGGCCACAGCTTCAAAGCGACGAATCGTTTCACCGCCGTAACGTAAACTCTGCCCTACGACAGAATAATGGAAAGCCGGAGGAAAGACAACTGAGCAAGCATCGCCGGCAGTTGGCGGACAAAGATAAATAAATAAAGGAAACGGGCCGTTTGCGCGCAAAGGGAAGCAATATCCCTGTCTTTAGCCGGGGCGCGCAGGACTTTGGTGCCTCGTAGTTGGATTGGGAGCTAATAGCGGTTGCGGTAAACAAGCTGCTTCTGCCACGGAAACATCGTGTGCTTCGCAGACTTTCCTCTTATCTTTCCATTCCTTCTTTCCCGCTACCATTCTCCTTCCCCACCCTTTCTCTTCGCGATCGTTACGTTTTTCAATCACTTCTTTCCTCTTTCCCGGCAGAACGGCCGGGAATTCATTATCTGAGTGCCTCGCCAATCGAACTTCAAATTTCGAAGATACACACCTACTTTACTATCAAGCGATTATTCCCTAACGCCTTGTTGGAATTCGTGCCAGATATTTTGAAATGAAAGAATTATTTCGAATCACAAGGATACAAGTTAAACTGAACTGAATAATCTGTTTCCCAATGGATATCTTTAAATAGTATCATTGGGCAGTGACAATTTAAATTTTAGATTACTTACTTTAATTACTAAAATTTACTTTTCATTTGATTGAAATATAAAATAAAAATTTTAGTCATCTAGCATGAATTACCACAAGTATTACAGTTCTTTAATTCGCAGTTGAAAACAGAGTCAAGATTAACCTCTTGCCTTGATTAAATTTATTCTCAGTCTTCAGTAAACATTAATTACTATAATATAAGATGTTGCATCGTGTCAGATGTAGAGCATCATATTCAAAGCAATTCAAATTATTCGTCATGCGCACTTGCCAATTCGAAGAGATTCGCAGTGTTTCATGGTTTTCAGTAGTCCCCTGCATAAAATTCAGCAATCAGGGATCCCAGTCTCTGCTGAAAAACGAGAAAGAACATCAATGAGCCAAAAGTTGAAAATAATTGTGACATTGACATCGATTCTTAAGTCGTAGGAAACTCAAGTTATAGACAGTTTATAAATAGTTATACTATGTTAATCCAGGAACAGTTACGAATGGGACAGATTTTAGATAATATCGACTTCGATTCTGACTTCGCAGAAGCGAAATTATATATATTTAACTGAAGTGTATTTTAATGTATTTTAATGCATCGAACGGAATTCTCGGAATCCGATGTTGCCACTTTATCCCGAATAAAATAGGCGTTGCACAATTTTCTCATTTCATAAAATGGGCAAGAGAATAAAATGAAAACAACCTGTAATTAAATTCTGGAGAAACGTAAAATAAATTCAAGGGAGGGAAATACCGAAGAAAACGTTCGAGCGCAGAGTTTAATTTTTTAAAAAAACCATTTCGTGGCATTTCTTTTTTTTTCTTTTTTTTTTTTTCAGAAACGTCGTTTGAACCGTGATCAAATTGTAAGAAATCGCACGAAACTAAATTATTTTCAATTTTTCCCATTCGATATTACATGTTTAAAATGTTACGGTTAAAAGTGTTTTCCTGGTCGACAAAATTTTCGAACTATATTTCTCGTAGATATTGATTGACAACGAGAACGTGTTATCGTAAATAACGTCAAAACAAAAATGTAAAGTGCTTAACAAGTTGTCGTTATTTGTGACATGCAATTTTATCTT